GTCTGGACCGCGCCGTGGACCGATACAGGACCGCCTTTGATGGCTTCCGTTGTCCGGACGGTTGCGGGAGGTTTGAGAGTCGGCGCTGGAGATGCCTTTACGTGTCTCTTTCTCTTTCTCTCTGCAAACTTTTTTTTGAGGGAGTCTTTTTTTTTGACTAATTTTTGAGGGATTCTCTTTGTGCAACTGTGCATGCCTTCGGTCTCTTTATTTTTCCTGTTTCCGTGGCTGGGTCTGGACCTATAGCCGATGGAAGGAAAATTAAACAGAGACCTGGACCTAGTCGATGCTGGGCTTGGGCCAGATTTTATTTCAATTTTGTAGTCGTGGGCCAACTTGTAGTACACCGCAATTTTCGCTGTGCAAAAGGGAAAGGACGAGGATTCTGCTTGACCATTCGATCATTTTTAGCAGCGTGAAGCACTGTCTGAGAGATGGATGATTCGGCCAAATTTCTACATCCAGTAGTGAATTTGGCCCGTTTAGAGGAATGTTTTGTTCTTATAGACTACATTTATTACTGCCAACAGTTGCTTTCATAGCTCAGTTGGTTAGAGCACCCGTTTAGTAAGCGGGAGGTCTTGAGTTCAACTCTCAATGAAAGCAATTTAGTTTTTTCTCTTCGACTCATTCCATTATTATTTTTCCTTTTTCTTTTGTCGGGATTTTTTTTTACTTTCTGATAAAGACGAAAAGCCACAATAGCAGATTCAGAAGCTAAGATTAAGTTTTGTTCAATGAAAGCAATTATTGAGTATAGGGTTCAGAGGGTGAGGATGATGGCAAAACCAATGTACACTCCAGCTAATTTTACAACAACAGCGTTCACGGGGGGGAATGATAGGAAAAACTTCCAACACTTCACCCGTGTTTCAGACACAATAATGCAGGCCAAGGTATTGCATCGCTAGCAATGTTATGTCTGCAGAGACTGAAGTTCAGTATTTAGAAACAGCCGTAATAGAAAGGATGGAATCTAGCAGTCCCTTTGAGGTATCACCAACGTTCAGAGGTAGGAGTACAACGCTATGGTCCAACAGCAATTCGTCGAACAAACTAACTACAGGTGCCCTGTATGCTTCAGGGGGACGCCAAATGTACTTTGCCCCGCTACGTAGCTGTCCTTTGCTGAATCATTCAGACCGCTAACTGTCACCAAAGAACACCGCAAATTCCGCCTTCCTCACTGAGGTCTCCATGGAAAGGGAATGAACCCGGGCTGGCTCGAGAATTCTCCGTGATGATTTGATCATTTACTACACACTTATGGTTAAAAAAAATGAGTACACAATTAGCATGAAGCTACTGCCTGGAAGATGATTCGGTCTTAGTTTTATCCCATTCGCCGGTAGTGTTAGCTTATAAAGAAACTACTTTTAAAAGTTCATCGCAATTGCTTTCATAGCTCAGTTGGTTAGAGCACCCGTTTAGTAAGCGGGAGGTCTTGAGTTCAACTCTCAATGAAAGCATTTTTTTCCTTAGATCAGTGTCATTTTTTTTGAAATGAAAACCACAATAAAGAGTCCAACACAAAGTTAAAGTTTTTTTCAACACAAAGTCCAATTATGTTGTGTTATGCAGAGCTCAAAACGACAAGGTTCACATGGCGAGAGCGATAAGGAAAACATAGCAGTAATTCGCAAAACTGCAGGCCTAGATATTGATCTCGGCGCTACGGCAACCAAGAAGACACCGCCACATCGCTAGCAATGTGTTGTCAGAAGAGACTGTGACTTCAGTATTCAGAAACTGCCAGAAACGATGTAATCTAGTGCTGTGAATTTTGGTCAGCTCGGAACCGTAATCACTCAACAGGCAGCAACCAGACAGTGTTCTGCTCCCATTACAACTAACAACGGTCGGATTGAACAAACACCATAAGAGCCAACTTTGCATTTTGTAGCATGTTTAACAGAAAGCATGAATTTCCAAACACTATAGCGCCAACCTTCTGCTAGCTTCTGTTCACTCTGAATTCCACTCACACACAATCACCACAGTTCAGAGCAACAAAACTATGATCTAGCTGAAATTCGTCGAACAAAAACTAATTACAGGTCCCCTTTATGCTTCAGCTTCAGCGAGACACCAAATGTACTTTGCCATACTATATGTATCTATCTATCCTATGCTAAATCATCCAGACAGCTAACTGTCACCAAAGAACAGAAGCAACACCAAAAATTGCGAGCCGAGACATCGGGTATAACATTCTGAAGTGGAGTTCAGAAAACTGCAAGTTGAACCAATCTGGAGTCTCAAGGGACTAAACATTCAGTATTTGAGAAACTGCAACCTGAGTGTGTCGCAGGCACTCACATGGTAGATTGAGTTCATTCTGAATTTCAGGTACATACAAGTCACCATGGCACATTATCTCTGATCATAAATATGTGGATAAATTGACTGCATACAGCTGAACTCAAAGATCACCTCATGGCACATCATCTCTGATCTTAATATGTGGAGAAATCAACTGCATACAGCTTGAACTCAAAGATCCCCCCCTCCCTCCCTGGCCCGTTAAAACAAAAAAAATCTGACCATCAACTGTCACTGAAGAACAGAAACAGCACCAAAATGTGCTAATCTCCAAAAAAAAGTGAGCCGAAAAAGGAATGTAACATTCTGAGGTAGAGTTTAGAAAATTGCAAGTGAGGCAATCTGGAGTCTGAAGAGACTAAACCGCAACCTGAGAGCATCGCAGGCACTCGCACATGCCAACTTGAGTTGTTCTGAACTTTATTCGTTATTCACAAATCACCATGGCAGAACAGTTCAAAGGCACTAACAAAAGACAAAGTATAGATGAGGGATTTCAAGGCCTTGTGTGACCCCCTAATTTACCGTGCCAGCACCAGTATGTAGCCATCCTTTTGCTTAATCCTGAACCATTCAGATCGCTAACTGTCACTGAAGAACAGAAACAACACCAAAAATTTGCCTGAAGAGACTGAAATTCAGTATTCAGAAACTGCCACCACAGAAAGGATGGGACCTAGTGCTAGTCGGAGTTGATTCTGAATTTTAGTTGCAAACACTCACCTCGATATACACTTCCTTCAGTTTAACAATTAATAGTACTCTGCATTCAGAAATCTATGAGCTGAGATACATATCGCTAACAATGTAGTGTCTGTCTGAAGAGACTAAAGTTCAGTATTCAGAAATCTATGTAAACTTCAGAGAAGAGGAACACCAAAATGTGCTCTGATCCACTATGCAGCTATCCCCTTTGCTGAATCCTGAATCGCTCAGACCGCTCACTGTCAGTGAAGAACAGAAAGATCAACAAAAATTGCAGGTCAGAACACATACACATAAGCCTGCACGACAAAGTTGCATGAGAATTGAGAAGCAGGGGCCATTACCTTGTCCTGGTTCTCTCCGGACGGAGCAGCCTCGCTCCCCCGACCGACGAGGTAGAACAGCACGCAGGACACCACGCTGAGCGCCAGAGAAGCGCCGAGGACGGCGAGGATGCCGTACATCCTCCCGCTCCCGCTCCCCTCGGGCTCTCCTGGCGCCGCCGTTGACGGCGACGATGCGCCGCCGCACGAGGCTCCGAGGCGGCTGATCGCGACGCGTAGCCCGCAGGCGCGCGCGGCGTGGCGGCTCGCGTCCCTGATCCTGAAGCTCTCGACGCCGCGCGGGCGCTCGGGCTGGCCCGCGTCCTCCGCCGTGACGTCGCTCGCCCAGTCCGAAGCTGAGGAGCCGCGGGCCATGGTAGACGAGAGGAACCTGTCGAGGACGATGTTGGCCCGGCGAGCTTTGGCGCCGGCCGTGGCTGCCGCTTCCTCCGGGATGAAGTGCTCGGGCCGGGGCTGCTTCCTGCCTCGAGCAGGGGGAGCTGGGTCGCCTGCGGCCGGTGCGCCGGTCGAAGTCGATGCCCCCGCGGAGGCGAAGCGCATCGGGGAGTACTGCTTCCTGTTTCGCGACGGCAGGCGACGGTTGGAGTCGGGCGGCGAGGCGTGGGCGATCGCCACCGTGTCGCCGGGCACTGACAGATTACTCGGTTCAGTGAGTACAGAGGAATCATCAAGATCAAGAACGCAACCAAGAACAGAATGCTTCGGATTGTGTGTCGATCTTACCGGCCATCGCTGAGAAGTCCTCGTGCGTACCCGCTGCTCGCGCCGGCGACGAAGACGACGACGCGCCAAGAACAGGCGCCTCGGAGCCGGCACCGTCGGGAGCTCCCACGGCAGTGAACTTCGTCGGTCCGGCCTGCTTCCTTGACCGTGCGCGGAGGGAGGTGTACGGCGGCGTCGCATCGGCAGCCGCCGATCGGAACTCTAACGAATTCGCGCCAAGATGAATCAAGATTCAAGAACGGACGCGCCGCAGCCTTCAGTTCAGGCAATCGGTAAACACATGCCGGTGTTTGGAAATCTTACCGAAGTGAGTCTCCATAGGGTCCTCCAACGCCTCGCGGTCTTCGCTCTTGATGTTGGCAGACGCCGCCGCGGCCTCGTCCGACTCCGGCGAAGGTTCCTGCGCCAAAGAAAGAACCAGCAAGAACGTCAAGAACAGAGCATTCCGCTGTTTCGGTCGCCCGCCGCTCTGAACCACCATCAATCAATTACGTCAAGATCCTGCTTCCTGGCGCCCTCCGACGCGGCGGCGCCGACGGGATTGTGCGTCTCCGGGACGCGCTCCTGCTCGCCCTCCTTGGCGCCGGCCACCTCGCCGGCGAGAACCGCCGACGGAGCGGGATCCTCCCCGCCCTGCTCCGTCTGCCCCTCGAGCGGATCAACAGCCGAGCGCTCGTGTTGCTCCATGGGCAGGGATCGAGTTCTTGGTGTGGACGAAGAAGAGGGGGCGAGGGGAGGAGGAGGAGGAGGGAAGGCGGTTGTTCGAACTTTGAAAGAAGGCGGGGGAAGATGGTGGGGGCAAAGCCAAGGGCGCGAGCGGTTATGAGCCGGACCAAGTTCGTGAGACGGTTGCCAGCTCTGGTGTTCAGGCCCCAGGCCCGAGTGTTCACGGGATCCGACGGTCTCCTCGCCTTGAGATCCGTTTATAAAAATGCCAAGAAAATCATGCAATGATAAACAGAAATGTTAACGCCCACACGTGTGGGCGTTTGCACATCGCCCACACGTATGGACGTTTGCACATCGTCCACACGCCTCCATCACCACTCATTTTGCCATGTATGAATAGATGACATCAGCAGAATTTTTTTTGGTTTTCGGCTTAAAAATGTTGTATTTCCTAAATAAAAAAGCGAACTAAAAATCCGTTTTCACCATTAAATCCGTCTTAACGAGATCTTCAAAACCAGACCCCATGCTGATATGTTTCGACGAATTTTTTTTTTTGCCAAAAGTTGCCACGATGTTTACACTGCAGTTGCCATAGGGCTTAAACTAAAGTTGCCATGTGGCAATTTTAGTTTGTAGATCATGGCAATTTTAGTATTTTGATGATGGCAACTCCAGTACTTTGATCATGAAAATTATTTTTTGTATGAACCATGGTAATTTTACGTGCATGTATCATGGCAATTTTAGTTTATGGTTCATGACAAGTCTAGTTTCTTAATTCCCTGTTTTATAAATGTCAAAATTTACTTTTAAATGTAGAAGAAAATAGCTGAAACATATCATGGCAACTTCAGTGTAAACATCATGGCAACTCATATGCAATAGACATGGCAACTTTTAATCCAAATTTTTTTTATCGAAACATATCAACATGGGATCTAGTTTCGAAGATCTCATCGCGAGGGATTTAATGGTGAAAACGGATTTTCAATCGGATTTTTCGTTTAAGAGATAAAACATTTTAAAAACTGAAAATGCAAAAAGATTCCTGCATGCATGCATGCGATGACGTGGCAATCTGTTTACATTAGAGACGTGTGGTGCGTCTCCCTTCCTGCCACACGTGTGGCAGTTAGCGCGATCCATGATAAAATGGCCGTGGGAAAAAAATAGTGAAGACACAAAATTTTAAGTTTGGCCATGTGGTTAGTAAACATGATGGCAAATATAAACATATTACAAAATGGACAAGCAAAGAGCAAGGCAGATAAATGCTTGAATTTGCCATCTGAAAGCATGGCAAAAAAAATGGAAAAAGAAAAGAAAAACCAAAGATCAAAATGCATAAAAGGTTAGAAAAAAAGTTGGCAAGTCACATTACATATATGATATATATCTATTTGGCATGATGGCAAAAGTATGCATCAATTGGTTTGCCACATGGTCTGAAATATACATTTGCCACTAAAATGTCATGTGATTTAAAGCTAATTTTGGCCATGGCTATAATGTTAATTTTCTATGGGATTTAAATTTATTTTGCCATGGGTTTTGAAAATGAATTGCCATGGGCTGTGGAGTTAAATTGTCATGATATTTAAAGTTGATTTGCCATGGCCGTAAAGGTGAATTTGCCATGGACATCAAACTAAAATTGCCATGGATTTTCTAGAAAAACTGCCATTATATGTAATTGAGATTATATTGACCAGTACGTAAAAGGTTAAAAATTACCATGGCAATATAGGTAAATCTGGCATGGGAAAAATAAATAAAAACTATCACAACTGAAACTATCTTTGCGGATGACTCGTTGATCTTGATGAAAGCCAATCAACATAATGCGGCGGCCCTGAAATCAGCACTAGATTTATATTGTGCGGCCACGGGACAGCTGGTAAGCGTGGAAAAGTCTAGTATTTTCTTTAGCCTCAATACAAAGGTAGATGTCAGAGAACACTTGTGTACAATGCTCAATATAACGACGGAGGCCCTGAATGACAAATACTTGGGCTTGCCAGCAAATGTGGGCGTTGATAAAATAGACTGCTTTAAATTTCTGATTGAACGTGTTGTTAAGAAAATTAGTGGTTGGAAGGAAAAACTACTATCTGCCGGGGGGAAGGAGATCCTGCTCAAGGCTGTGATCCTAGCCATACCTACCTATGCAATGTCGGTCTTTAAAATTCCTAAAAAAAATTTGTAAAGGAATCATTGACGCGATAGCGCATTTCTGGTGGGGAGACGAGGAGAACCAGAGGAGGATGCACTGGATGGCCTGGTGGAAAATGTGTGTACCAAAAAACCAAGGAGGAATGGGATTTTGTGATATCCACTGTTTTAACCTGGCTCTGCTGGCCAAACAGGCATGACGTCTCCTTGATAATCCTGATTCCTTGTGTGCCACTATTCTAAGGGCCAAGTACTACCCTGATGGTGATTTGCTGAATTCCAAGCCAAAGCATGGTGCTTCCTTCACCTGGCAAAGCATTATGGCATGCATTACTACTCTGAAACGCGGCTATATTTGGCGAGTGGGAAATGGACATAACATCAACATTTGGGAAGATGCATGGATCCCAAATTGTGCCACTAGAAAGATTGTGACTCCTAGGAGGGGACAATTGTTATCAAGAGTGGTTGATCTGATTGACCCTATTTCCAATATTTGGGATGAGGACCTGATTAGACAAACTATGTGGCCCATTGACGCTGAACGGATTCTTAAAATTCCTCTTTCGCAACATAACATGTCAGATTTCATTGCGTGGAGTTATACGAAAAATGGTATGTTCTCGATACGGTCTGCTTATTCCGTGGAGTGGAATCATCAGTACGACAGTAAACTAAAACACTCTAACGGGATGGGGCGAACCACACCTAACCCTATTTGGTGTCAGATATGGAAATTATCCTGTCCGGCAAAAGTCAAAATTTTAATATGGCGTACGTTACATGGCACTCTCCCATGCCGGGCAACTCTTGCTAATAGACACATGAAGGTCTCCCCCCTTTGTCCTACTTGCTCTCAGGGTGTAGAAGACACGAAGCACATGCTTTTCCTATGTACTAAAGCAAAGGAGGTTTGGAAGAGGCTAGGAATAGATGAGATTATTGATAGAGCTTGTGAGGTTGATCATGCTGGAGAGGCGTTACTGGAATACCTTTTAGTTCTTCCAGATCAAGATTTGCGTATTATGGGGTACCAAAATGTACGAGAAATGATAGATATTTCAGCTTGGTATCTATGGTGGGAGAGAAGGAAATTAGTGCACAAGGAAACAACTCAGAATGCAACTCAGATATCAATGGGGATCATAGCCCTCACATACAATTTTGTAAATGCATCATCTTCAAAGGCGTCCATGAAAAAGTGGGGTTGGCATTGTCCCCCTAGGGGTTTCGTGAAACTCAATGTTGACGCCTCTTGTGACCACGACATGCTGAAGGGTACGATGGGGGCGGTTTTGCGAGACGACAAAGGTAAGTTTATTGCAGGAGGAAATGGAAGGATTGACCATTGCGCGGATGTTCTGATGGCATAAGCTTTAGCCCTCAAATTTGGACTAACACTAGCGCAAAGGGCAGGGTGCAATCACCTAATCATCAACTCAGATAATCTAGAGGTGATTCAGACCATGCAGGATGGAGGATAGTCAACGGGTGCGGCAACGACAATTTTCGATGACTGCTTCCACTACGCATGTGATTCTATCATGACTAGATTCGAACATTGTAATAGAGAGGCAAATAGAGTAGCACATGAACTTGCTAGATTAGCTAGATTTTCTTCAACTTCAGATTGGTTCGAGGAGCCTATCAATGAAATTGTACTCATCCTCACAAACGATGTATTGGTTATTTCTAATGAATAAAGTTTCATTTTATTTCAAAAAAAGTCCCCCACCCCTAAAAAAACAGAAGCTAACAACTTGATACCACTTTTCATATATTTTTTGCAAGACAATACCAGTTTTGGGACACGACATTACAAATTGCACTGATAAGGTCAGGTTGTACGCTGTCAAACTGTCAACGCTCGAGGATCCCATTTCCCCTCTACCCTCCCGCTTCGCCCCCGCATGGCGACCGGGGGGATCCCAAATTCCGGCGCCGCCGCCTCCCTCCTCACCTCCTCCCGCCTCCTCCGCCGCCGTCCCAGGGCTCGGTAGGGAAAAGCCCGATCGGAGCTGGCGGCAGCGGGAACCTCTCGTTCCATCAATGGCTGGGGCTGGTGCGGCGCCCCCCCCCATCCTGGGTGCGGCGTGAAAGCCGGGCGCCGCGGCGCACAGTCACCTAGCTGGTCGCTGGCGCTCCTGCTGGGTTTCGGGCAGCATGGATGGTGGCGGGGCGCGCGAGGTCAGTGGTGGTGGCGGGGTTGGATCTGCGCTGGCTGCAGCTGCTTGCGGCACGAGCCGAGGACGGCGGGGCGGGTGGAGCACGCCTGGCCACGGCGGCCGGCTTGGCTGGCAGGCGGCATGGGCCTAGGTGGCATCGGCTGGTTGCTGCGGCTCCGCCTTGTGGGTGTGGTGGCTAGCGTTGGTGGGCCCTGCCCGGCCTCGGTGTGCATGCCTTGGCTAGGTAGGGGGGCGGTGCGGGCCTGGTGTGCTACGGCGGTGTGGCAGCGGTGGTTCGGCAGGCGGCGCGGGGCGGCGGTGGCGACCTCTGATGACCCACAAGTATAGGGGATCTATCGTAGTCCTTCCGATAAGTAAGAGTGTCGAACCCAACGAGGAGCAGAAGGAAATAACAAGTGGTTTTTAGCAAGGTATTCTCTGCAAGCACTGAAATTGTAGATAACAGATAGTTTTGTGATAAGATAATTTGTAACGGGTAACAAGCAATGAAAGTAAATAAAGTGCAGCAAGGTGGCCCAATCCTTTTTGTAGCAAAGGACAAGCCTGGACAATTTCTTATAATGAGAAAAGCGCTCCCGAGGACACATGGGAATTATCATCAAGCTAATTTCATCATGCTCATATGATTTGCGTTCGTTACTTTGATAATTTGATATG